CCTCCCAATCTAGACCTTCTGTCCTAAGTGTCTGTATGGCCTATTCAAACTGTGAAGATCTGGCATCAGCATATGGTATAACATTCACAATTACTTTCTGAGATGTTCTTTTTTTTTTTTTTTTTTTGAAGGGTATTTCTTAGTGATTTGGAGATGACCATTGGAGTTTACAGATGTTTGTACCCAGATGTATAGATCTCAGTAAGCTGCCATGTATAAAAGACAGAGAGAGAGAGAGAGAGAGAGAGAGAGTAATGTCATTATATTCCCGCAGTGCCTTCAAATTTTCTCGCAGAAAAAAAAAAAAAGAAAAAAAAAGAAAGGTCTTTTGTTTCTCCTTGCTTCAAAATGTGACTTAATTTAACTGAGTAAAGCTGATCCACAGAGACCTTCTTTCACACCCTTCCTCCCATTCTCATTCAAGCACCGTATTGCTATTTTAGGAGGCCTCGTCAATGTCCATGGAAGCATCTGATGAGAATGGATCTAACCGGGTGTTGTTTCGCTCAGAATCCCCTCTGCAAGGCCTAGTTCGTTACCACAGTGGCCCGCTGCTGTCCGTGGCGCCGTACATCTCCGCCAGCTTCTTAAAGCGCGGCCCCCAGTCCGTCAGGTAGTCGTAGCTCTGGTCCGAGTCTGTTGTGACCGACTGTAGGGAGCTGAGCGACTCCGCCACGGAGCCGTTCCCTTCAAACATGTACGTCTGGAGGGAGTCGAAGGGAGGAGCCCAGAGGTCCATGTCAGCTTCGTACAGCTTGGCGAGCACGTAGCTGTGGACGCTGTTGTCCATCATGCACGTCTGAGGCACGTACCTGGAGAGGCTCTCTATTTCAGGGAGCATGTCCTGCCTGTTTTTCGCAACGAGTTGGGCCTCCCGTGGGTTCCACATGGCGGCAATGTCGAAGGCCTCCGTGTCCTCCTCCCCGCCACCTTCGTCATCGTACCGGACGATGTTCTCATGGATATTCTCCTCCTCGTCGATGACATACGGCTGTTTCCGGTGCCGCCTCATGGAGAGGATGAGGAGCACCAGCACTGTGGGAGGCAACCCAGACACGAGGTCATTAGTGAGAGGGCAGATCTTGCTCTGCTCAGTGGAGTGAGATGGGGCTACCAGAAGTCACTTGGACAATGGGTTTAAAGTGTCCACTGCTCTGTTTTCCCTTGGTGAGACCCTTCAGCTTGAAGGGCTGTGATGTTTGCAGGAGAAGGGATGTAGAAATCTAGACACCTTCAAATCAAAATCAGTACCTTGAGGTCCTGCTAATCTCTCCTTTTCTCACCAGCACTCTTGATGCTTAGGACATGTCTACCCAGGACTGCTTGCTTTGCACTGTAGAGATGCTTGAACTACTTTTCAACCAGCTAGATCAGGCTGGTTGCAGTCTGATCAGAGGCACACGAATCTACAGACGTCATTACTTCCCTGCTTCACAGATGGATTTTGCAGCTTTCTTAGGGAATATGACTTGCACTGGGCTCTGCACCAGACATAGATGGAAAGTGGTGGATGGCACCTAGACATCACAGTGATAGGTCTGTCTACGCTGCAAAATGCAAAGCTAGCTTTTTTAACTGCTCCAGAGCAGTTCTTGTTTATCTGCCAAGCACTGCCTTGGGATGAGTAGTCCTACTGTCAGTTGCTCAGCACTATCAAGATGAAGATGCTTCTTAGCAGGCAAAGAAATGATCAGGCAGATACCAAGAAAACTTTATTATTGGAAACACAAAGTCACCTGGTGACTATATTTTCAGGGCTATATTTCAGGACTATATAGTTCAGAGCTAGAACTCTGCAAGAGTGTTAAGTGATTAAATTTTTGATTGAGGTATCTAAATTTTTTCATGGAGCCGGAATTGAAGTACTTTTACATCATTCGTTCTCCACTGCTCCTCACACTGGACCTTCTGAAAATTAAGGGAATGTGCCTTTTGAAATAATATATCATGAATCAAGTACATGAACAAAGCTGCTCAGGTTTTCTCGATACCGGCAGCTATCAGAGAAAATATAAGGTATGGGCAAGGAAAGGATGAGATATATTTGTGGAGATGGAACACCTTCAAGATGCTCTGCTCCTTTGCTCCTTTGCCGTTTTTGAAATAAGAATGATGATAAGCTATGGAGATGGGACCATATAATGAACTAGATTTGAATAAAACATAGAAATTGGGGAGTACAATAACACTGAAAATGGAACTTGTAAATTAAGCCCAGAGCCACTGAATTCTAGAACTTTGAAGTGTTTTGCTCCAATTTGTGCTTGTGTCAAAAACCCAACCAATAGAGGGCCCTCTTGTGCTCCACAATACAAGTCTTCCTCCTCTAAAGAAATTCAGGGAAAATGCAAGATTCAATAAAGAAAAGTGTATATGTAAGGCAGCCTCAAAGAGGTTTGCCTTTAGTTCTGGTCTTGATTTCCTGCAAACACTCTTATGTTTGAGATGACTCTCACAACATCATCCTCCCATGAATGGAGCATCAGAACAGCAAAGGTATCATTTAAATGTATATTCTCAGAAAAAAAAAAAAAATGGGGGGAGTGTATATCTCTTGCCAAAAGGAGGCAAGAGGCCTAACAGGATTTTCCATTCCTGTTTCCTGTGAGGGCAGGATCAGAACCTAATGCAAGTGAGCGGATAATGTATCCCCAGTAATACTTCTCAGTGACCTCCCCCCAACATACACCTTCCCAGTCAGGACTGCTGCATCAGGTGGCTCTGCACTTCAGGGCTCTGGAATAGATATCTGCAAATCGTATTTGTCCCCTCTTCCCAAGAGGTCACATCTTCTTCTTCTGAAGTCATAGGATGACGACATCCTCTTTTCTGGTCCTTTATGTATTTGTGTGTCTAAAAATGCATATCCATAAAATCATGCTTATTTGGGTGTGTATATATATATTTCTATGTAAACACACATACATACATATATATACATACACATGCCTATGCACAGCCTTCATCTTGTCTGGATCAGGAAAACCCTGGGATTGACCACCCCTTGTGAAGAAGCCAAGGGTTTACCTAACAGGACGAAGATGCAGGCAAGGATTGCAATGAGTGCCCCTCTGCTGAGGCTGACAGGGAGGACGTAGGCTTCAGCGGTGCAGGACATCACCATGCCATCGTCATCACAGCTGCACACGTGCACAGTCAGCGTGCCCGTACTGCTCAGCATGGGGCGGCCGTTGTCGCTGATCAGGATGGGGAGGTAAAACGTGTTCTGCTCATGTTGCCTAAAGCCAGACCGCCTGGTAAGAATCCATGCCGTATTGTCTAAGAGGGGAAAAGAAATAAAATAGAAGAGCTTGCAATTTACAGGGTAAATATATTCATCAGAAAAGAAAGCTCAAAAAAATCAGCCCTAGACCTGCACTGATTTGTCCCCTCTCTCTTTTTTTTCTCCTTTGCTTTACATTGTTTTGTCACTAATCAGCAGTTTGCCTCTGCCTCCCCTTTTCCAATATCTTCTCAGGCAATAGCTGTGAGACCTGCAAGGCATACACACCTTATGAGTTCCTTTACCTTTTGTGACATAAAGTGCCCAGAGCAAACTCACAGCCTTCCCATTTTGCTAAAATAGCTTTCAGAAGGCAAGACAGAAATTAACAATTAAAGGCAACTTCTTGTCCCTGTTTGTTCCTGCTCAGCAGCTTTTCTAGACTTCACTCTTAAGTACTTCCACTGTTTTGGAGATGTTTGTGTATAGCCCCTCGGGACACGTTAAGGTTCTCTTTATGTTTTTTGATGCCTGGCTTGCTTTTAAAAACCCTGTTCCTGAAAGACTTCTCAGGCAGGCTGACCATATCGTTCTGAGCCTATCTGCTTGAGGCAACAAGAAGACAAAGAAACAATCAGCTTGCTATCTTAAAACAGCAGCCACTTGAAAATTTGCAACGAAACATTTATTTTTTCAGTCAAACATATGCAATTTCAGTGGCCATTTTGCTACTGAAAAAGTCAGAATGCTTCATTCCCTCATCGTTAGAATTATTCTGCTTGGATTTGACCATTCCACTTCATTTAGTGTAACCATCTGTTTTACGTAAGCATGTGAAACAAAATGATTCAAAACAGTGCTCTTGAAGCAAAATATTAAAAGAATAACCAAACATCAAATTACTTCTTTGAAATTTCATTTCATTTCAAAGGAAATTCTTATCCTCAAGACTTTTCCACCATGATCAGCATGGGTTTCACAATTAGGAAAAAAAAAAAGATGGATTTAGTAATTTGTTCCCCTCAGATTTAATCTCAGAAATACCAGGAAAAATCCTCCGGAGATCAGTGATGATTTTACCAATGCTGTCTTTGAAGTGTGGTGGTCTCTGAGACTTTTAGAAGGTGCAAAGTCAAAATAGAAACAAGGCTGAATGTGTCCTATGTGCCACTAGTGGTAATAAGGAGTCTTAAGGAATGAGCATAAAAGTTGTCATTCCACACAAACATTTTTGAAGGTCTCGGGACATCTCTTTGGCAGACCTACAGCTCTCCAGTGAAGCTCTGGGATTTTTGTGCACAGAACCTCATGGTACTTGATTTTATTTCTTGTTTCCTTGCTTCAGAAAAGGTCACAGTCTGGCCATCTGCACCTTCAGGTTCTTAAGGACAGGTATTTACTATGCTTAGGAATGCAGGAAGCCATCAGCTACTCCTGGTGGCTTGGCACAATCAAGCTGTTGCCTGGAAATGGCAATAAACCTCATCACAAGCAGATCATGAAAAAAGGTACTTGCAAGAAATCATTCCATTTTCTAAAATATTTCCATGTCAGTTCACTGCTATAATTTAGAACATAAGTGAGTATCTTCAGTGCAGAGACTGTCATTGAACGCAGTTTTATTATCTTCTATAGTCCAAACATCAGAAAATATTTGATGGCCTTTAAGAGTGAAATGGTTAGGAATGTTATACACAGTCAACATGGGATATATATATGCAAAGATAAGCTAGACTTGTTAGACTTGCCTGCTAGACTTAAATTATGCTGCAAATTCCATGCTTCTTGCTGCAAATCTTGGCATCAGACAGTAGTGGCATACGTAAGTATTGAGATACCAGTCTATACAATACATGGGATTGATTTGAATTGATGACATGATGTTTTTTAAAGCAATCTCAGGCTCTTTTCTTTCTTGCGTTTAGATAAGGTTTCAAGCTTTTACTCCAAAAGCAAAAATTCTGAAGTGAATGCATGTGTCTGTATGAAAATATATAATGATATTGTAGTGTCTCATGTGTAAAGTTGTGTGATCCCAGAAGCTAGGGCTTTGAGGAAAACCAGATAGCACCAGATGCAGGATGAGATCCCCAAGACTGATTAAAATTAATTGGTAGTGTTTACTGCTATATCCTTTGATATAGCATGCAGCTCTGAAAATGTGCAGCAGCTATAGACAGAAGCAGATGATTTTCATGAATAGGTCTCAAGACCCACCATAGAACAGTGATGTTGGGCTCCCTATGAATCCTAGGTGTGCTACAAATGGAAAGTCATTGCTTTCTGCAAACTGCTGTCTCCTCTCTTCTGCGCACCCACAAGTCCCTTCTCACCTGCAGGCTGTTAAGTGTGTGCTCCCCAGCAATTAAAGTCACCTCTTTTCAGTGCTGGGCCTGCTGTAGCACATGAAAAAAACAGCCAAAAGGTCAGGAAATAGCAAAGTGGCTGGAATTATGCTGTGTCAGTAGACATATCTGAATCACCTTGGCAAAAATGTTTATCATGTAGTAGTTTGGTTGCCTTCCTCTTTCCCGAGTGAAAAAAAAACTTCTCTCTTTATAAAATGATTTATAATGAAAGTCTATTTTGTTCCACTGAGGTGTCAGAAAACCTTCATTTTACAAGAAATTGCTCTTTGTGAGGGAAGAAGTCTTCATTATTCTGAGTTGGTCATACTTTGCTTGTAAAACACAGCACAGGCAGTGAATCTGACTGAAGTTGTGCAAAATCAGTGGAAGATGTCAAGTGTTTTTAATCTTAATTCTTCTCCATGCTGAAGTTTATATAATAATTTCTTTTTTTGTGATGGGTTCAAAATATCACCCAAATCTTAACTGTTCTTGCTGATATAACTCCCTTCAATAACTCTCAGCATTACATTTCCACTGCTTTGTTTTCATTTTGCTTTGTCCTAGGCAGGCATCCAAATTGTCCCTAAACAATGACTCTACCTGTTACTCTGCCAAATATTGTTGTGTGACTCTTCATAAGCCTGTGCGATTTGATGTAGTGAGGTAGGAGATGCTGGAGTGTGATGAGGCATGGCAGAAACTGGAGTACACAATTTTCTTCCAGATTGATATCTTGCTATCTGCTAAGCCTCAGCCATCCAAAGAGGAAGGCTGGTGAGTACATAAAAGACCCATTATAAAAAGAAAAAAGGAAAAGGGCAAAAAAATCCAAACATAAGAATACTCTATTTTTGCATCACAGATTTCCATGCATCATCTCTGGCTCACAGCACAGGAGATGAGTAGTGCTGAGCAGAGATGCTGAGGAACCCGTGGTGGCCCTGTGGTCCCACACCCCTGTGATCAGAAGGAGCGTGAAAGCTGACCTTCCCCTTGGTGTGCAGGCTGGGAGGTTCATGTGCTTCAGACAGCAAGCTGTGGGGCATCTGCTTCCTGCCGAATTTTCCTCTGTTGGAAGTGAATTGCCTCTCTGGAGAGGCAATCACTACATATATCAAAATGCAGAGAAAAGAGCTAACCTTTGCTCCTGCCACGGGGAAAGTTTTATTTCTTTTGCATGAGCCTATACCCAAATTGGTAATGGCACTTCCCACAACTTCTGTTAGCTTTTTAAGACCAATTGTAATAATTATGATTAATAGAAGGCAATATTTTACCACAAGTGGGAGGAGTATAGGGAAGCAGACATCCCAGATGCTACCAGCTTGAGGAAAGGATTTACTTTTTTCTTAGGGATTTTCAGCTCGTTATTTTTGCTCTCTGTCTTGCCAAAGTCAGAAGCAGACCTCAGTTTAAAGGAAGGGAAGAAATAACTAGCCATTTTTGTAGGACAAATTTAAATGCAATGGGAAAGACCGTCAGGGATTTGCAATGACATGCCTGACAGTGATGTGACACTGACATTTGCACCCATTAGTATGGCTACACTTTCCATTAATTTCTTTTTCCCCAAAGATGGAGGCCAGCATCGTATGGGTCAGCAGAAGATCAGTCCAGAATTTAATTTGGAAATGTCATAAGTTTATTTTGTTGCTCACTCCATTCTTAGAGCAAAATTGTTGTGCCAATTCTTTCCCAACATAATCATCTCATGCAGATTTACAAGATGACCCCTATGGCAAAGCCTAGATCAGCAACCCTAGAGCTGAGAGACCCCAACTCACATCCTGTATGACCTTGAAAAATCATTTAGCCCAGATGTTTGCAGCTACTTGCATTTTTATCTCCTGCTGATTTTACTGATTTCAGAGGGAATCAGGGATCTAATTAGCTTAATTTCTGCTTTACCCCTTTCTCCCTGCTCCCATCTATAAAGTGGAAACAATAGGATTTCTCTGTCTGCCGCAAATATGGGGAGAATGAATAGACTAAAGAAGTTCTCAGAGACTATAATAACAAGGGCCAAAGAAATATGTAAAACAGCTCATCAGAATGCAAACTGCGACCTATCTGTTGCTTAGTATAAATCAAGGTTTTAATTGCTGCCAGGAAGGCTGCATGTCTTGCAGTTTCTCTTACTGCTGTATTGGGCAACCAAGTAACCGGCACGATTACTAATCTTAACAGCGCCTTCCCACAATTTGAGCAGCGTTGCTGTCTCATATTTAGATGCACAAGCTGTGACTAGCAAGGTGGTTCCCGTTCCCTGACTTTCTATCCTGTGACATTTGATATATATCTATCCCGTCTGTGATTAGTCTTGTAATTTATATAGTACCTAGTATTCCCTAGATGAAAATATAAGCATAAATTATTGTTACTGAACTGACTGCAGTGCTCCAAATTGCTAAGACAGTAAAATAATCTTTAAGGTGTATATTTCAAATAGTCGGTGGTTTGATACTTAACATTTCTGTTTCAGATTTGTAACCAACAGTACCCTAAGCTTCTTGTGATATATTTCTCTGGAAAACTGGTATTTTAGAGGGAGCGGGAGGCACAGCCATTCAGTCACCGCTGTCACTATAAATTATAGTGAGTATGGCTTTAGACAGAAAAAGTCCCAGCATCCAATGATGGGAATTTTGTGAGCTGCTTTTTTAGTGCAATGCCTCGAGGATGAAATGAGCCCAGTTTGCCAAATGTTTTAGCAATAGTTGCATTTTACTTGTTTATGTGTTTAGGCTATATATATACATATATATATATGTACATATAGAGAATGAGGATGTGAGAGAGAGAAAATCATAAGAAATTGTGTGGGGAGACTTGAAGCCCTATGCAAAAAAATGCTTTGAGACGATTAAGCAATAGCATGCTATGGAAGAGGCTCTAGGGTCTTCAAGTGGCATCTTTTAAGATGCTTGGTTAGTGAAAATAGGGTCTTTCATATTATGCACTATATTTACAATGTTTACATTAGATATGCACTGTCTATTCTGCATGTGCTGTTCTCGTATATGGGTACAGAGGCACGTGTATTTATATAGGACCATGGGCAGGCACTGTACTTGGAGATTGGCCACAGAAGTGCAGGTGCCTTTCTTCCTGTTTATTCCACATTCTGGAAGAAAATCCTACTGAAATCCTACTCCTATATTGACTTTCAAAAGTGTAGCACTTCAGTAAAAGGTCCTCCCTCTTTCTTATTGAAGGCTATTGCAGATCTGACCTCAGAGCCCTTGTCTGCCCAACAAACCCTCTATTAGCAGCCATCGTATGACAGTCTGTCAATAGAGAGGCTCTGAAATCACCAAAGATTCCCCAAAGTAAGTAAATTACACAGGTACTCGAAGGCCAACTCTTCGCTGCAAGTCTACCCACTGGTGTTTCAGTTTCTGCTCAGCCCATTTTACATGGACTTTTAGCGTACATCATGTTGCTCCCTAGGGCTCTATAAACCACCGGCAGCATCTTCTCCTTATCTGCCTCCCTTTCCTAGGCAATAAATGAGGATGTTTAAAAAGAGAGAACAAAAGTGCTTTGAGAAAAATACTGGAACAATACAGGAATCTTCCCTTCTGTGCCTGGAAGGAAACATGAAGGGTACATAAAAGAGCAATGTAATTCCCCTCAGATCGGTCTCTGACTTCCAGTTTCTATCCTACCTTTAAGCAAGCATCTCCTTTTGAACAAATGCTATTTCCACTCTGGTAATCCGAGGTGCCTGCAGCATGACCACAAGAACTGCATTTGCACAAAGCACTGGCACGTTCCCTTGAAGAAGAAGAAGGGGCCTATTTCTAGAAATTATTTATAGCGAAGCAAATATCATATAACTTTCAAGTGTATTAAGTAATATGTCATTTTATCACTGCCTTTAAGGAGCAGGTGTCACTTGGCGTTACTTCAAATGGCACTCTTATCACACAGCGTAAGCCAGAGCCTCTCAAAACCAACTGAGGCACTAGAAATTAGAGTAGCTAACTGTCTGTGTCCACTCGCATTACCTTGATTGTCCCTTAGAGTAAAGTTGGGGTTGTTGGCTGCCTCGGGGGCCAGGCTGTAGTAGAAGTGCTGACCCTCCTGTGGGTCATCCCGGTCAATGGCGCTCACTGTCTGGATCAGCTGCAGAAGGCAAGAAGAAAGCAGAAGCAGATGAGTAGCCATCCCAACACTGCCCAAGAATTCAACGTTATGTATAGGTATATATGTAAGCAGCACCTGCATTTGAACAGAATTGTCTTGCAGAGGGACAAGAGATGACTCCAGAACAGGCTCAAAACTTGTAGGCTTAATTTTATATTTCTGTGGCCACGCAAATCACCTCTAAACAGAGCAGGAGGTTGTTTCATTAAAATAACAGCATTTCCCTCCCATGTGTCCCTGTCTCCTCTGACATATTTTTCTTTCCTTGGGAGCCCCCAGGGTGCTCAGAAAAGAAACTGCACTGGAGAGCTTGTAAGAAAGGCCATACTTATTTTTATCTTCATTTTGTAGGCAGAAAAGGACTCTAGATGGATTTTTTTTTTATCACTCTCTTAATTTTAAATCAATTAAGCTATTCCTGAGAAGTCAGTGGAAGCAAAGAAAGAAAGCACAACCAAGCAAACACTCCTTATATGCAACAAAAAACACTGTGGAAGGAAACTAAGACAATACTAAATCCAGAAAGAGATCTGTCACCCTCACTACAGAGGTTTTGCAAAGTAGCCTAATGACTTCAGTCGCAGCAGGCTATAGATCGGAGTAAACATTGATATATTTTTATACACGGAATAAATCTTCACCTGTATTTTTTCATTCCAAGTTATTTTTGTGTACACAGCAATAAACCCATAAAGTCTGATTTAGCAAATTGAAACTGACTTGAGAACTTTTCAAAATGTGGCAGCAGTATTGGCTTTCTTCAGTGAAGAAGCAGTTCGAATTAGTGTGCATTTCTTGAAAAGCTTAGTATTTAGAACACGTTCCCTTCAAAATGTGAAAAATAAGCAGACAATGATTTCTTTTCCCTGGACTGTTAAAAGACTGCTTACATTAGGGGGATGAAATCACCCTGTGTATGCCTGGTCTCAGGACAGTGTCTCCCAGCAGTGAACCGCTATTACACTCTGCTTCACAGCAAGCCTGGAGAAGCTTCAGTGAAGTCAGGAGACAGGCTCTGATATTGCTAGCATAATTTTTCCCTTCACAAATCATGAGCTTTTTAAAGATGTGTTTGCCAATCGTGCATTTGGAGACCAAGCCCGTGCTGAGGTGATGAAGGGCCAGGCCAAGCTGTGTCCTCTGCAAGCGATGGGTGGTGGAGCTCCCACTGACTCCAGCGAGGCAGAGCTCATGCCCACCTGTGGCAGGGGCAGACCTCATTCGAGGGCTTTTGTGGAGTTTTGGAAGAGAGAGGGGCACAGGGGCACCACGGCTTGCTCAGAGGCATTGATTTGCAGTATGTGAAGCTGGAAGTCCTGCGTTATCTATGACTCTGTAATCCTTGGTTCACATCCTGGCTGAACAGATTCAGCTCACCCCTGCTTTGAAGCTGCTGCAGTATATTATGTCCACCTCCCATAAGTCAGGGCTATTTAAGGCACTTATAAGTAGTTTCTTTTAAAATTAAACCTTGTCTGCTGCGCATGGGCCCAACTTAATCCACGGTACTTCTTGAGACATTTTTCTTCTCTTTGTAACTGCTACAGAACTAACTGGGTGTTTTCCTGCTGGCACAGACCCAAAGGAGGATTTTTTTTAGCAATGATGTGTGTTGTGGAGTGAATTTGGAAGCTGTTGTGGGAGAAAAAAGATGCTCTATGTGATGTTAATTCTGGTGTGATGTGTTTGGCCCTGCAAAGCTGCACGGGCCCCAGCAGAGGCATTTGCAGGCAGCTGCTGAGCCGCGCTCAGCTGACATGTTTTGTTAGCCAAGTCCTGTTTTAAATGCCCTTTCCAAAGCAGTATCTGCACATGAGCCGACCTCCCTGCCTCCTGGGGTGTCACCAGCACGTCTCACCTGGCCGGCTTTGGTGTTTTCACAGACGAAAGCTTCGTAGAACCTCGCAAACTCGGGCGCGTTGTCGTTCACGTCGAGCACTTTGACCGTCACCGAGACGCTGCCCACCTGCGAGGGATTGTCTACAAGAAGGGAGAGCAGAGGAAAGAAAGCAAGGAAATTTCCCTCCTCTACTGAGGAGCTAAAGCAGCTTTTTCGCTACTGGCTTGCATTAAATGGCACTCTTTCATCTGGACCTTTGCAGGCAAGTGTGACTGAGAAATATGGTCCAAATGCCCTCCTATCTACCCTTGCTTTTCATCATTTTCAGACAAATTCCTTCGAGTATGAATGTCTTCAGACTGTTTTAGTCCAATGGGTTTATTTCTGTAACAAAAGTTTTAGACCATGCCCTGCAGTTCCAGTTTGATTATGAAATACTTTCTTGTGGAGCCTTTGTATTGATGGCAGCGGTTAGGAACAGACTCCTAAAGACAAGTTTGTTGTTAAAAGCATGTTGAAAATGTTAATTGTCTAATTCAGATACATTTTTCCTCACATTTTATATACAGTGAAGACAAAAATATTCTTTTCACTTTTGATGCTTTATGCAGGGGGTTAAAACATAAGAACACATGAAATTGTTCAGAAAAGCTTTCACTGAAGCTTAAAATTGCAATGAAAATTTTACATTCTACATGACATCATTTGTGATATTTCTGTCCTACTGGTTCATCATTAGCTCTCTTTGCCAGTAAAACCAGACATCATTTCACATATCTTCACAATTTCCAATCTTAGCATTCAGTGAATAAATCTATTTTTTCTTTCTGTGTTTATCTGCTCCAAAACTCTTTTTTTTCCATCATAAATGATAAAATAAAGTTCTAAGCACAAAAGAAAAAAAAAAGAATTTCATGATGAGGAGGTCAGAAAAGTACTGGAGATCCAGAAAAAAACAATCAGGCTTTTCCTCCTCTCTTTAAAAATACCAGATGAATCTCCCTCTATAGCATGAAACAATCTGTTCATGTGAACAATAAAGAATTTTCTTACAGTCTGTATTTCCCAGTACTAAAGCTTATGTCATGCTGTGTCACTGAGAGACTTACACTTAAATTTATTGTGTCTCACCTACTAGCAATTTAATCCTTCATTTTCCTGCCTGTGCACACATATCTTCCTAAGGCTTATCACTGTGGCATATGAGTGCCTACATTTATACTCCTATTGATCTAACTTTTGAAACTTAAAGCTTTACTCAAGAATGCACGAAGCAACTATGGCATTTTAAAAAATATTCTCTAAATTAAAAAGAGATGGGATTACATCCTACCATGTCATGAAAACCTCTCACTCCTTAAAAGGGGTCAGGAAGAGTCTTCATGCTGCAACAGTCTACATGGGTGGTGGATCACGCACACATTCATGATATATTCCCCTTGCTAACTTCATGTTAGTTGACCAGGTTTCGGGCAAGCATCCTAAAAATCTTTCCCTTGAAAGTATGAGTTCCAGAGTTAAACCCTGCAGATTTTCACTGCTGCAGAGAGGAGAAGTAACACTGCATATGCATTCTTCTGTAGCACTTCTAATATTGGGTACAAAGCTTCTTCAAACTGCCTCAAATCTCTGGTACAACTTGGGTGTCTAGCAACCTCCCTCAGATGGGAAGGATTGCTCAGCTATTGACAGCAAGCTCCTGAAACGTTGCTATCCTTTAGACAGGAGATTTCAGGTGAAGCTTGGGTAAACATTTTATTTTATTTGCTCATCTATCCTGAGCTCCTTTATGAAGCTCATGTTTGTTACTATTTCAAACTCTGCTAAATTTTTCATAGCTTCCATGAAACAATCAGGATCTTGATCTCATAGCCTTGGTAAATATCTGGCATGGAGGAACCAGAGGTGCACTGACACCTGAGAGTTTAACAAATTCCAGTTGCTTTGGGTTTTTCACACAAGAGGGTCCCAAGGCCCAAATCTTTTCTGCAGCAAGCAGATGGTGATGACATTAATTCATTACTGATGCAGACTAGATTTAAACCAGAGACCTAGGAGGGAAAGGCGCTTTGCTGCCTGCATTTCCTGAGCCGTGTACCCCTCTCAGGTAATGCTGGCTACCTCAGCAACTAAACAGCTTTTGCAGCCTCTGTTTTTGTTGCCTAGTTCTTCTGGAGAGGTAGAGCTCTTGATGAAACATATTTCAGGGAGAGTTCTAAATAAATCCCTGGAATACTAATGAACTGAAAAAAAAGCAGCTCTCTGCATTTAATTGCCAGCCACTACTCCTCCCACTGCCCTGCAAACAGGAGTGTAAAGATAAATAAAATGCAGTATTTGCTTGTTCATATCATAAGACTAATTTTGTTCATATGACTTCCCAGTGAATGCATAAGAATATGTGAATTGCTGAATTCAGGTCTCTCAATCTGCTTTGTCTGTTATATCTCTTTAATCTATCTGCAGTCTGCATTCTCCTTACTCAGCTCCATGGCCAGCACTGTGATATTGTGCCAAGAAATGTCCTCCCGGTCAAGAGGTCTTGCAGTCATCAGTGCTCCTGATGTAACGTCGACATAAAAGAACCGCCCGGGATCACTGCTTCTGTCGATCGAGTATCTGCAAAAGCACATATTAAAATATTATGCAACCCTTGTGAAAACAGCGTGTTATAGGCAACAGAGTACCTGGCAAATGGGATTACTCTTGTATAGAGCAGATCCACATTCATCCACCAAACCTAGCTGCGTGCTCCACTCCCTTCTATAGGTACAGAATAAAGGTCTTGAAAATCAGGCTGTTCACATGGCTGTGAGCAGTAGCCAGAGCTGGCAGATTTAAAGGAAGAAGCCTCCAAGCAAGGCAGAGCTCAACACAGGAACATCTGCTCTATAGAAGAAAGTCTGTCAGTGAGGAGTGCAATTTCTTTTTCTAAGCAAAATAATTATACCCTTTCCTTGGGCACAATTCAGACACTATGAAAATGACTTTACATCAGCTCACGCTCTGGGCACTTAGGCTGATGAGGAGGGACCGATTCCTTCCTGGTGCTTTTGCACTTCCTCGTCTTTTACAGGAGTAAACTCCACCTGATAGAGCAATGCCCATGCAACGGGGCAAGCCACAGTTCTCTCCTATGATCCCAGCCAGAAAAAAAAAAACCACTTTCCGAGGCCAATTTATCTTAATTACCGAACCTGCCAGGCCAATACTTTGCCCATTTACCACTGGGAGCGAGGTTGCACCCGTGAGCAGGGGAGCGTGGTGCAACCCACGAGTAGCTGGGCAGTGTCTGTCAGCGCTGTGCTCCTCGGCCAGAGGGTCCTGCTGGGAAGGAGAAAAGGGGCTACTGCCAGCTTTGCCCCTGCCTCTTTCCCACAGGAGAGAAGCAAATTGAGCTGTATGCGCTCGCTGAGCATCCAGACTCTGCCTGCCAGCCACACAGCTGGCCTTTCTGCTGCCGCTGCTGTCCTGTGAGGCAGGAGATGCCCTGCTAGCGCCCAGAGGGCTGCTCTGGGCAGTGGCAGGTCCTGCTTTCAGCAGTGATGTCCTGCAGAAGAGAATTTCATTCATTCTGTGCACTCTATGCTTGCCACTGGGGGATGTGGATGTATTTCTCATGTCTGATATGTCATAAATGCTCTCAGGTTTCATATCAATCAACAACATGCACAAACCATGCTCATTTCCCTCAGCAGTTGACTAGATTGGTGGCATATGTGGTTTTTGCAGGGAGCAAGTATTGAGTACCCTACAGATGCATCACCTCGCTCTTAACAGCAATTTGCACAAATTCCCTTCCTAGCTAGTCATCTTAGCATGGGCAGATATCCTCTGGCAAAAGCCACATGGGCTAAAGTAAATACCAGAGCTTAGAATAGAGCTTGGACTTATTCCCATTTTTTGTTGGTTCTTTCTTCAACGCTGATGAGAATTTAAGGCATGAGTCACAACAGATGCTGAACAAGGCATATTGTTCTGAATTTTCTCTTTTCAGCACAAAAGCACTCACTGGAACAAGCATGCCAGCCCGATCTTTATATGGGGACATATTAAACCGGAGATATAAAACACTATTGAGCTATGTCATGGGGAAACAAACAACATTCTTTCACACATTTTTTAAGAGACATGAAAGAGGGTGGAAAGGCAGATTTGCTTCCCTTCTCTTCCCAGTCCCTCCCACCCCTTTATAAATAAACAGAGGCATTTGATTTATTTAGGAAATAAGTATGAGTGTTACTATATTCTGCTGTGATAATTATTCTTGTATGAGGGCTGTAAAAAGAACTTCTCTCTGACAGTTTAAGGGCAATGAGTATCTGAAACTGAATATGGCCTTATGATTAGTGTTGCAGTATTAATCACTGGTGTCGAGGCACAGGTGGAGTCTTCGTCTGGATTCTCCTCTTACTTTGTCCTGTTAATAATATCTGTTCCTTCACATTCACTTCCACTGTACTTGTTTTCTGCAGTCACTTAACAATAATCATGGTATATTTTCAGAAATCAGAATTTCACAGTGTAGGGGGCCTTATACTGGGAGTTGACTTTCCATACTTGGAAAAGCAAACAAACAAACAAACAAACAAAACAAAAAAA